TTTCCTAGTTTGGTTCTAGGCAAAGGACCAACACAATCAATAATAAGACGTGAGAATGGTTCACCATCCACCGTGATAGGAATGAGAGGTGCAGGTGGAGGTGTGTGCGCTGGCTTGCCTGTCACTTGACACACGTGGCAACATCACACATGATCAGCTACTGTTTCCTTCATCTTTGGCCAAGTAAAATGTTTTGCCAGTTTACCTAGTGTCTTCTTGACACCCAAGTGTCCTCCAATGGGGCTATTGTGAGCAAAATCAATGGCTTGTTCACGAAATGTAACTGGTAACACTACGAGATGCTTGACTGTGGCGGAAACACTGTCAGCTGATAACTTACATGTATTTTTCTCCATCAGTACACCATTACTATAATAGTAACAATTATCGAGATCCTTTGCTTCACTCTCAGTAACTGCTATATCTCTCAGTCTTTCCAGTGACTGATCAACAAACTGATCCTTGATTAAATCATCATGAGTTAAAAATTTAATGTCAGTAGTGTCCTGACTAGGTTGAAGACACGGGGGAGTTGGTGTTAATGACCCTGGGTGCAGAGCGTCATTAAACAACATATTCAAGCCCAAATCATTGTCATCCACTAACTCAACAGGAGACAAGGATGGTTGTTGTATCTTTGACATAGCTCTAGTAATTGCACTGAGAGGAAATAAAATAGGCTTCTCTCTACAAGCTTCAATGGCATAATTATCATCAGTGTTATCAATCACAAGTGGTTCTTTACATATACCAGCATGAAGGATATCATTCCCTATCAACAAGTCCACTGACCTGATGGGAAATACACCACTGGATATACCCACAGAAATATAACCAGTATAATAGCTTGTTTCAATGTATATTTTGTGAAGAGGTACTTTTATAACAGCCCCACCATAGGCTTCTAACAATACATCTATCTTGGTATAGGTATCGTCAGTTATGGTCAGTACATCTTTTCTTAATAACGTGAGATAACTGCCAGTGTCTCTGAAAGTAATTATCTCAGTTAGATGTGATTTGTCAAATCCTACTTTACCTCTCGAAAAGTAAGGACTCATCGCTGAACGAATCTTTTCGTCAAATACACTTTCTGACGCTAGTCATCTATCCTGAGTAACATTATCTAAAACAGTAGGATCAGAGGTATTACTAGGATTTTGGTGCCTTTGTTGCTCGGAAGAAGATACGACTTGAGTGGGGGCGCCAGCCGCACGACTGCTTCTCGTATCTCTTTCTAACTTATAGCAATACTCTCTAGCATGTCCTTTTCTGTTACAATAGGTACATTTAACTTTCTTCTTCTCGATATCAGATTTATGTCTAGCCACAGAGACAGATTCAGGATTGTGAGTTTTCCTGGTAAAGGTACGAGAAGTTACAGTAGCAGATACATCAGGCCGGCAATGAGCAGCTGATTTAGGTTGCCAACTTCTAGGACAATCTTTAGTTACCTTGTTTCTCTGTGTTTTAGTACGTACAAGTTTGTGAGAAATCTTGTAATTGTCTGCTAATGCTGCAGTTTCCAGAATATCCTAGGTAGTATGATCGATTAGATATTCTTGTATGTCAGCAGACATACAGTTGTTAAACTCTTCGTGTAGTAACAACTGAACAAGACTGTCGTAGTTGTTACACTTGGCAGACCTACACCACTTCTTAAATGCAACTTTTTTCTCACGAGCAAACTCTACACAAGTTTGATCTTGTCGTCGTTGTAACGTACGAAGTGCACGTTGATAACTTACAGGCAACAAGTTATATGTCTCTAGAATAGTTTGTTTGACAGCGTCATAACTAATGTACTTGGCAAATGGTAAAGCAGCAGTACAAGTTTGAGCTCTTCCTGTCAAGGCTGTGTGCAACAAGGTAGCCCAGTGCTTAGGTGGCCAGTTCATAGCACGTGCCTGGTTCTTAAACACATCAAAATAGGTGTCTAAGTCATTCTCAAAAAACTTAGGAACCATAGAGACAGCTTTCTGCGCATTAAATGTGTCTTGTTATCTATCAGTCTGTTGTCTTCCAAGACTAACATTTTCTCTCTGGAAATCTTCTTCGTTCAATTTCCTCTGTGCCTCTATTTGCGCAGTCTGCAACATAATGAGACGTTCTAGCCTCTCAAACTGTTCCTGAGAGATAGGACCAGTAGGTAATGGAGGAGTAGGGAAATTAACATGGTCTGGACGGTCCTTAGGTCGGGCACCTCGTCCAGCCATCTCTTGAGAGTCTAGATCTGGTCTAGGATAAGTAGATACAGGTGTAGCATACACTGTACTAGTATGGGGCTGAGTCGTACTATCAGTTAGGAGGGAAGGCGTGAGCGAGAACTGAGCTACACTAGGCTCAGACACTAGGCTCACTTCTGCCTTATTTGCTCTTTCTTCTACATCATCAAATAGAGTTACACTTCCTAATTGTGACACTAGGCTTTCTGAATCTGAATCATAATCAGACATCTCTGTATGAGCAGGAAACAATATATCTTTAATTAACGCTCAGGCAGTTTCTGCGGTGTAATTCCTGTTATACGTCACACCGAGATATTTGGCTACTCGCCAACACGTCTGAAGTTTTAATGTACTTAACTCGGACAAAGTCAGAGTATCAATTAACTGTTTCACTATGGCATACATCACGAAAATAAGTGTACTACGAGAGAGTGATTATGTGAAACTATAATCCTAATAGGAATTTTAGTGTTGGTGGTCTTAGAGTTAGGTCTCATAAACAGTATTTCCATCTCCTTGGATCAAGAGACTCAGTCAGGTACATACATTCACCTGGTATGTTGTACAAGACTAAACTCAAAGTCTTCAGATTAGGAAAGTACTCAAAGTGTTTGATCATAGAGTTACTAGTATGTCAAACTGGACAATTTTTCCAACACCTTGGATCAAGAGCCTCCCGGACAGGCCCCCATTTGTTACAAAAAACGCGATTCTAAAAGCTTAGAGATCTCCAGTGAATACTAGAAAGGAATGCCCTTCTAGCATCCAGCCTGTTACTGGGTTTTCATAAGTTAGTCAGTATCCTTGTCCAATTATCCATTAGAATTCAGTATGATTCAATAGTGTTTCAGGATTACAACTGGTAGGCTACTAACTAGAGAAATTAAAATTTAATAAATTTATTAAGTATCGTCTAGAGGTATATCATCAAATTAAATTAAATTAATCAATTCAGACTAATAATAATCACTTCTCTCATACACAGTAGTATTGTGCTGAAAGCACATATCACATTCATAATTCTTAAGTACCGTCTGGTACATTAACATTTAATAAGATATTACAAATATGTACAAGTAAGTTTGTGTATGTGTGTAAGTGCTCTAAGTAGTTCGCTATGTCTCAAGACTCGACTAGACTTAAACAAGTGACTGACAAAATCCTCAAATAAACTAACTTCTTGACCAACTGGCAATCAGAACAGTCTGCTTGAACAATAAAAAGAATGCTAATAGCAATATAACAAGCAACTGCGACACAGAATCAGGAACAAGGAGATAATATAACAACACTAAGTAGGGACCATCTGCAGATCCTCCACACAAGTCACCAAACTCCCATACTACTGAATCTGAGTTCAGCATAAGAAAATCCCCGACTGTGATAATACACAGATACCAGTACAAGTTAGGTCAGAAGCTACAGCTCAGGACCTGAGTTGCTCAGAGTGTCTATGCGACACACAACCTCAGTACAACGTCGAAAATCACTAAGTCTATACAACGTTCTGTGAACAGAGTTCTACAGAACTAACAAGAATAATGAGACAGACAATCTGTCCAACCACCAAGAGAGTCTAGACCAGACTGAATACTTCAGGCGAGGTGAGGACACCCCCCTTCTATCACGTGATAGCTCCGTGGGTCACTGCCCAGTAAGAAGCCGGCAGGGAAACGAGCAAAGAGTGATAATTACAGTAGTTAGACAATCAAGACTTGAACTGAGCACATAATATGTTACATCCTACCTAACCAAAGGAAGCTAAGTCAAATAACAATATAAAGCAATGCATTTACGATTTAGCTATTATCACAAATACAAGCAATATAAAATTATATGAAAATATACATTATATTCATAATCATAATATACATTGCAACTCATTCAGGGGTTGCAACAACATAGAATGACAGTTTCAGAAAGGGGCCTGCGACAGTCAAAGGGTTAAGAGGTTGTGCCATGAGCCAGTTAGGGGTTAGGATAATTATCATATAGCTATTGATATTGTATGCCATCATTATTGTAAGGTCATTTTCTTGTCAGCTTATATTAAGAATATGTCTCATGCAAGATTACTGACATTAGACATCCATGGAATAGAAGGTGTTTGGGTTTTCATCATGTAAATTGGTTGTCTGTAAGGCAACATACTAAAGACCTTCCAACAGTTCAGTAATACACAATCTGCACATCCTTCTTTTTCCTGTCCTGTTTTCTCATATTATCATGGAACTAAACTTAATGAAGTAGTTTACTAAGGTGTTTTTCCCTCCTTAAAACCCAATTTGTTAGTTCATTGTGAGTCCTATTTTCTCCAACTGGTGTACCAGCCATTTTCTTAAAATCTTTTCAAATACTTTGCAGAGTATACATGTCAGTGATACTGATCTGTTGTTAAGAGTTTCTTGCCTCATCTCTTTTTAAATGTTAGTACTGTAATACTTTGCAGTTTTCTGGCTTTTTGGTATACAGTATATATTCTGTACTCATTATATAGCTCAAATTTAGTAATTTGTCAGAAATTTAGCTGAAATATGGTTCAACACACACATACCATTCATCCAACTGTATAACTATTTTTAGTTTCAGTCCCGAGAGGAAAAAATGAAAATCTTGCTCTGTATTAAGCTAGCAAATTTGACTAATTATAATCACACAGGACAGTTTGTGCAAATAATTTTGTAGTTTGTTATTAACAAATATAGTATATTTTTCAGTTTATTATTAACACTGGAATAATGTATTGAATACAAAAATTGCCTCTGCCAACAGGTGATCAGCCTGGAGGGCTGGACGGACATCATGTACTACGTGCAAGATGCTCATTCCTTTTGGGACTGGATATATTTTGTCCTACTTATTGTGGTGAGTTGATTTGGAATTATCAAGTTTTGGATAGGCTTATACTCTCCTGTTTTGACAGGATTAGAAAACAAATTTAGCAACCCTAATGTATAAAGGGATTTATTAGTACAGTATGGTAAATGTGATATACAGTAGATCATCAGTTAACACATGATCTGTTAACAAGTTTTTACTCTAACATGGTTGCAAAATTGCAGCATATTTTCGGGAATGTGTTGTATTAATCAGTTTACATGAAAGAGTACATGTAGGGAAAAATGTGGCATGCTCCGGGTTCTTACCCTCCATCTTGTGGTGAGCATATGGGCGAGTCCATTGTCTTATGGAGGAGACCTACTTTATGTACACAGCCTCCCTCACCTCAGTGCTCTTTTTGTCCTATAAAAACGAAACAGATCACAAACAAATGGCTTGGTTGCCCATGGCTAACCAGTACCATTCTGAAATCCATTGACAAGAAACACCAATATGAAAAGCAATATAGACAAGGCTTAATACACAAAGATATTCTTAAACACTATTCATCAGCTCTCACAAAAGTAATAAAGAAAGCCAAACAACTATACTACTCCAGTAGATTCACAGACACTAGAGGAGATATAAAAAAGACCTGGAAAACACTCTCTCAGATTCTAGGGACCCACAAACTGCGAAAAACCAAGAATATTGTCCTAACTAAACCTAATGAAACACCACTACATCCCACTGACAGAGCTAACAAGATAAACGACTTCTTCTCAACCATAGGATCTAATCTCGCCAGTGAAATCCCACATACCAATGCCCATGCCGGGGACTACCTAGATGGGAATTTCCCTAATTCCTTCTATCTTGCACCAACTGAGCCCACGGAAGTCACCAAGATTATAAAGTCACTTAAAAATAACTCGGGGAATCTGTCTCATGTCCCACCATTACTGTACAAGCGAGCGGCCCATGTCCTTTCGCATGCTATTTCATTACTCTTTAACAAGTCACTGGAGACTAGCACCTTCCCGAAACTACTCAAGATGGCAAGGGTTACACCAATACATAAAGGTGGTGACCCTACAGACTTAAACAACTATAGGCCAATATCTAACTTGCCATTCCTATCCAAAATCTTTGAGAAACTCGTGCACAGGAGACTGTATTCATTTATAACGGCTCAAAACATACTCAACCCCTGCCAATTTGGATTCAGAAAAATAAAAGCACTAATGATGCAATCATAAAAATGCTAGATACTGCTTTACACAGCATTAGAAAAATAAGGAATATCCACTAGGAATTTTTATTGACCTAAGAAAAGCTTTTGACACAGTAGACCACGACATCCTACTCCACAAACTTGATCATTATGGTATAAGAGGCCATGCGCTTGCTTATTTCAAATCTTACCTTACTAATAGGTATCAGTATGTCACCATTAAAGACACAGCATCAACAACACGGCCACTTGATACTGGAGTTCCGCAGGGAAGTGTCCTTCGTCCCCTGCTCTTCCTCATATACATCAATGATCTTCCAAACGTATCCCAACACCTGAAACCCATTCTCTTTGCTGACGACACGACTTATGTCATCTCTCACCCTAATCTTGCCACCCTCAACACCATTGTTAACGAGGAGCTGATCAAAATATCGACTTGGATGACAGCCAATAAACTTACGCTTAACACTGACAAAACCTACTATATTATGTTTGGTAGCAGAGCAGGAGATGCACAAAATTAACATTAAGATCGACAACACTCTAATTACCAGACATAATGAGGGCAAATTCCTAGGCCTATACCTTGACAACAACCTGAATTTCAGCACCCATATCCAACACATAACCAAAAAAGTATCCAAAACGGTTGGGATCCTCTCCAAGATACGATACTACGTGCCGCAAACTGCCCTTATCACACTATACCATTCACTTATATATCCATACCTCACCTATGCTATTTGTGCTTGGGGATCAACTGCAGCAACACACACCTAAAGCCAATAATAACCCAACAAAAAGCTGCAGTAAGAATAATCACTAAATCCCATCCCTGGCAACACACCCCCCACTCTTCATAGATCTAAACTTACTCCCTGTTCAGTACATCCACACTTACTACTGTGCAATCTACATCTACAGGACCTTAAACTCCAATATCAACCTTGACCTAAAACGCTTTCTTGATAGTTGTGACAGAACCCACAGGCATAACACCAGACACAAACATCTCTACGACATTCCCCGTGTCCGACTAAACCTTTACAAAAATTCAATGTATGTCAAAGGCCCTAAAATCTGGAACACCCTACCTGAGAACTCTAGAACTGCAGACACATTCATCACCTTCAAAACTACCATTAGAAAACATCTTATCTCCCTGATACACCCCATCAACCAACTACACGAATACCACCTGGTGGTTCACACTTACACTCACTCACCCATTTGACCATAAACAGAAATATTAATCTCAATCTTAAAATAATGAATCCTATGATACTCCAATACTGAAACTATGTACTGTGCCAAAACAAAAGCATTCACATTGCTTAACTCACAAACTAGTATTTAGTCACTTAGCCATAATACCAACTTACCTCATAATTTGTAATATTTAAAATAAAGAATTAAACTAAGTCTGCCCGAAATGCCTAGCCATGCTAGGCGTTCTAGTGGTACACTCTGTAATCATTATTTAACTACATGTAAACCACACAACAACCAAATTCTGTAAATTCAACATTGTAATCTTTATAGAGAATAAACTTTGAATTTGAATTTAAATGTGTCCAATATCATACTTTGGTCAAACTTCTTTACCATACTACTTTCCTCCATTCATCCTCTGCCACACACTCAGCAACCTCCACCCACATAACTCTTCCTGGGCCACACGCTTTCACCTCCCTCATCCCTGAAGGAATTAAGGGAAACTGGTTAGCCGGACTTGAGTCCTGGAAATGGGAAGTACAATGCCTGCATATTAAAGGAGGGGTTTGGGATATTGGCAGTTTGGAGGGACATCAAAACTGTTGTATCTGAGCACCTCTGCAAAGACAGCGATTATGTATGAGTGATGGTGAAGGTGTTGAATGACAATGAAAGTTTTTTCTTTCTTTTTGGTTCACCCTACCTCGGTGGGAAATGGCTGCCATGTTAAAAAAAAATTGCCCATGCACACACACATGCATGTATTTCCCCCTTGGCCACATGCCTACACCTACAACATCCCTCCATGGCCACATATCCTAACTACCACTACCTCAAGACCACATCTTGCCCAGCTCACTGCCCTCAACTACACCATTTTCCCACGACCTCACACCCACACCTTACTCTTCCTTTCACCCTAACATGCCATCTGTACACCTAATCACTTAGTCACCCAACACCCTCATTACTACTTACAACACCAACCACACACTCATCCACCCAGTCCCATCATCCACACCACCACCCACACCAGGCCACCAACACAACTGCACATTACTTCCCTGTAGTTTCAAACCCATGTGGCCTCCACTCACACTACTTCTCCATGGCACTCCCCTTTCACCACACCCTAACAGCTTCAAGCCCATACAACCCCCCACACAACCCCACTTCCATAGCCCCAGGCCCACACCTTACCCATGCTTTCACAGCCCACACACCCTAACATGCCATCAACACATCTAGTCACAAATCCACCCAACACCTTCATTACTGCCCACACTACCAAATGCATACTCACACAGCCAGTCACCCATCATCCACACCACAACCCACACTGGGCCACTGACACAACCACACCTTTCGCTCTTGCCACTTCCCTACACTCTCAAGCCCACACAACCCCAAACCCATGCTTTCATGGCCCACATGTCCTAACATGCCATCCACACTCCTTGTCACATAGCCACTTACCACCCTTATTACCACTCGCACCACTGACCACACACTCGCCCACCCAGTCACCCACACCCAAGCCGCTGATGCTGCCACAAACACACTGCCTCATCACTTCCAGCCTCCACTCCCCTACACCCCACCACTGCCCAGCATCCTCCCCCTCCCAATACCAGCCTTGAGCTCTTGTCCAACCCCTCCACCTCCCATTCCAGAAGTCTCCCAGTACCCTCCCCCACTCCATAACCTCTCACCTCAACCACTCTAACCCCCTCCCATGTTCACCCCAACCCCTACACCCCCAGCCACTCTAACACCTCCTTTATAACCCCCATACAGTTGCAATGTGTAGGACACCCGAACAGTAAGGCACCTTCATCTGTGAGCAGAGATGTGAATGCAATATCTTTGATTAATGCACATCACTACATTGACCTATATTTACATTATCATTGTTATTTTCACTTTTGAGATTAAAAAAATGGGTGACTTTTTTGGGGGGTTGAAAGAACTTAACCCTATTTTCCTCTATGTTTCTTTGTTCATTTTACAAGATATTTTGATTACACACCATTGTTAAGAATGCAACTACTTTGTTAACTGATGGTCAACTGTATATATACTGTGGGACTGCAAATACAACATGGTAATTTTAAATAAATGATGTTAATGAGGATGTATTGGAAAGGATCATCCCTTTTCACTACAGTCAGCTCCCTTATATAGTTCCTTCATTTAGTGCAAAGACAGTGAATATGTGTGAATGATGATGAGAGTATTTCTCTTTTGGGTCACCCTGCCTCAGTGTGAGACGGCTGACGTGTTGAAAAAAAACTGGTAAATTTGATTGAAAAGGTGAATTGAATATTAAGTAACATGTAATATGATGGCCTCACCATGCACTATTTAATTTTGGATGCACTTTTTCAGTCAATTTTTAAAAAAATTGCACTATACAGAGGATCTTAACCCTTAAACGGTCCAAACAGATTGACGTTCAAATCCGTAGTGCTCCAAAAGTAGATTACGTTTTTTTTACATATTTTCAAAAATAACAAAAAAAAAATGTAGATAAAAGTTTTTTATACACATTTTTAAATGTAAAACAAGAAAGAAGATCTACATTTTGTTACATATTTTCAAATGTTGAAAAAACGTATGTATACGTTTGGACCATTTAAGGGTTAATAATAAACTTGACTGCATATCATTATTTTAGAAATGGAAATTTTTTTATTAACCCTTTTTTAAATTAAAGTTGTTATCCCCTGTCTGTCCTCCAAATTCTTATGATTTTGATGTGAACTACCATGCCCTTTAAGGGCATGATAGACCTTTATGGGCATGATGAGTGAAGGGCTTTATGATTAATAGAAGAGGAGCTACCCTCCCTTTCTTTGGATTGAATTTGATTACCTCCCATACACCTACTAATTTAGCACTCATAAAATGAATGATTTACTGCTTACTTAGCAAGCTCTTTAAGTTTATCCACATAAATCCATTTGATTTATAACTTTTAATTTAATTAAGGCTACTTATTTGTTTTTCTATTTACAGATTGGGTCATTCTTCATGATCAACTTGTGCCTAGTTGTTATCGCCACACAGTTTTCAGAGACTAAGAAGCGTGAAATGGAGAGGATGAAGATGGAACGTGCCAGGTTTCAATCGACTAGCACACTAGCATCAGGCTCCACTTCTGAGCCAAACTCATGCTATGCTGAAATCATCAAATATATTGCTCATTTGTGGCGACGAGGAAAGCGAAAATTTTATGTTCGATACAAACAGTTTCGTCGGAGAAACAGATCTGAGCATCCTCGACAGCTGAGCCTCAAGAAGCAGCGTCGTCGTCGTCAGTATGAGGCAGCACAGAGTGCCCTAATCAGCCGTGAAGGTGGCATTCCTTTGGTACCAAGTACTGTAGTGTCTGTTCCAACTACTACTGCTGGTGGTGTAGGTCCAGGTGGAGCCTTTACTGTGATGAATAACATAAGCCCAACATCTCCACAGTTGTTGTCACCCCCAGAAGTACATGAAGCTCCTGACGATTCACGAAATAACAATGCTCCTCGTGCTAGTCCGGAATTTTCTGATGCAGATCCTCAACCATCCCCGCATCGTCCTGTCGTTCTTAAAATCTCGAGTGGAGATGGGAGCAATGAGCTCTTACCACCATCACCAGGGGGTCAGGGTGCTTGCACTCCACGACAACGTCGACGCAGCTCTGTCATGTTTAGTGATGTGGTGCTTCTCCATGGCCATGCTGGGGAGACTGCCACAAAAAATGTCTGTCACAGTGAGAAAACTACACAAACTGATGATGAGCAATTAGATCCAGTATATTTTCGTGAGCCTTTACCACCATCACCTCACACACCAGGACCTCCCTCCCTCATGCCTCCTGCTCTTCTGCCCCCAGTTCTTCTTCCCCCTAACAAGACTAAGTCTTCCCTGCGATCTGTCTCGCGGACACCCTCGTATAATGGTTCAGGGGGAAAGGGTTCTCTCACTTGTGGGGAACTGCTGGCACTGAGCGGTGCTCTCTCTGCTGCGCTGCCCACACACTTAGGTATTGACTCTCGCTCCGTCCACACCTTGTATTCTTCACTTGCCAAAGGGGTAAAGCACTTTTCAGCACCAACTTTATTTTTCTCCGCTGATCAAGCACCTGCAGGGTTTACAAGTTACTATTCAGGATCTGACTCGTGTGACTCAGATTCTGATTGGAGTGATGAAGAATGGAAAGAGGAGGAGACAAAACCACCTTCATTAGCACGTAGATTCTGTTCACGTATTCAGGTCTGCATCAAGAAGCTGGTGGAGCATCGATACTTTCAGCGGGGCATTCTTGTTGCTATACTCATCAATACACTCAGCATGGGTATTGAGTACCACAACCAGGTGAGATCATTTATGACAAGCATTTGAACAAAAAGAGAATCATGATGTCATCTCGTATCAGTTAGTGAATTTCCTTACTTAAAAATATAAAAAAGCAGATTGAAAAATTAACAGATAACAGTTTCACCATAGTTTATTATATATGAGTAAATATTTAAAATGTTTCATTTAATGCAATGAGTTTTTTTTTTAAATGACCAATTGCCACCAAAGTAGGGTGAAACAGAGAAAGAAACACATTTACCATCACTTATTCAATAATTGTCTTATCAGAAGTACATGGATATCACAATTCAAGTAACTCGCCAAACTGCAACATACTTGCCCATCCTTCAGAATGCAGGCACTGCACTTCCTACCTCCAGAATTTAGGTCTGGTCACTCAGTTTCCCAACATTGAAACTACTAAACACACTGATGTCAAAAGGCTTTTCAGTCATAGATATTGTATGTAGTGGAACCTCGGTATGCGACCTTAATTCATTCCAGAAGGCTGTTCGAGTGCCGCTCCGTTGGAGTATCAAACAAGTTCTTCCCAGCCAATTTTCTGTTTGGTGACTTATTTATACATGGACTTATATATACAAATAATGCAAAAAAAAAAAAAAAAAATATGAAGCAAATGAAATAGTTTACAGCGAGTTCTGCAGGTCGTATTTGTTTGATCGAGTGCTGAGCTTTGTTCAAGTAAGGAGCTGGTCGTATACTGAGATTCCACTATATATATTGATTATGATAATGAAGAGTATATGGAGAGAAAAAGAGAGGTTAAGAGAGTGGTGAAGCAATGTAAAAAGAGAGTAAATAAGAGAGTGGGTGAGATGTTATCAACAAATTTTGTTGAAAATAAGAAAAAGTTTTGGAGTGAGATTAGTAAGTTGAGGAAGCCTAGGGAACACATGAATTTGACAGTTAAAAATAGGAGAGGAGAATTATTAAATGGAGAGTTAGAGGTATCAGGAAGATGGAGGGAATATTGTGAGGAATTGTTAAATATTGATGAAGATAGGGAAGCTGTGATTTCTTGTACAGGGCAAGGAGGAATAACGTCTTGTAGGAGTGAGGAAGAGCCAGTTGTGAGTGTGGGGGAAGTTCGTGAGGCAGTGGGTAGAATGAAAGGGGGTAAGGCAGCTGGGATTGATGGGATAAAGATAGAAATGTTTAAAGCAGGTGGGGATGTAGTTTTGAAGTGGTTGGTGCTGTTATTTAATAAATGTATGGAAGAGGGTAAGGTACCTAGGGATTTGCAGAGAGCATGCATAGTTCCTTTGTATAAAGGCAAAGGAGATAAAAGAGAGTGCAAAAATTATAGGGGAATAAGTCTGTTGAGTATACCTGGTAAAGTGTATGGTAGAGTTATTATTGAAAGAATTAAGAGTAAGATGGAGAGTAGGATAGCAGATGATTAAGGAGGCTTTAGGAAAGGTAAGGGGTGTGTCGACCAAGTGTTTACAGTGAAACATATAGGTGAACAGTATTTAGATAAGGGTAAAGAGGTTTTTGTGGCATTTATGGATTTGGAAAAGACATATGACAGGGTGGATAGGGGGGCAGTGTGGCAGATGTTGCAGGTGTATGGTATAGGAGGTAGGTTACTGAAAGCAGTGAAGAGTTTTTATGAGGATAGTGAGGCTCAGGTTACAGTATGTAGGAGAGAGGGAGGTTATTTCCCAGTGAAAGTAGGCCTTAGACAAGGTTGTGTGATGTCACTGTGGTTGTTCAATATACACCTGCCATCCGACTTACGACCGAGTTCCGTTCCGAGAAACCAGTCGTAAGTCGAAATGTACGTAAGTCGAACTTTACTACTGAATATCAACATCACATTTTTGTAATGACTGTTTTATTGTTTTATTTTGGTATTTCATATTTTACTTTTTATGCTGTTAGTACTGTATTTTATACTGTAAGGTTTAGGATAAACACTGTGTACAACACAAATAGTTGTTTATTTCCCAGAAATTTGGCATAAAAAACACGGTCGTAAGTCGAGTGGTCATAAGTCGAGCAGGTCGTAAGTCGGATGGTAGGTGTATTTATAGATGGGGTTGTAAAAGAAGTGAATGCGACGGTCTTGGCAAGAGGTGTGGAGTTAAAAGATAAAGAATCAAACACAAAGTGGGAGTTGTTACAGTTGCTCTTTGCTGATGATGCTGTGCTTTTGGGAGATTCTGAATAGAAGTTGCAGAGATTGGTGGATGAATTTGGTAGGGTATGTAAAAGAAGAAAATTAAAAGTGAATATAGGAAAGAGTAAGGTTATGAAGATAACAAAAAGGTTAGGTGACAAAAGATTGTATATCAGATTGGTGGGAGAGAGTATGGAGGAGGTGAATGTATTCAGATATTTAGGAGTGGATGTGTCAGCAGATGGGTCTATGAAGGATGAGGTGAATCATAGAATTGATGAGGGGAAAAGGGTGAGAGGTGCACTTAGGAGTTTGTGGAGACAAAGAACTTTATTCATGAAAGCAAAGAGGGGAATTTATGAGAGTATAGTTATACCAACGCTCTTGTATGGGTGTGAGGCATGGGTGGTGAATGTTGCAACAAGGTGAAGGCTGGAGGCACTGGAGATGTCACGTCTGAGGGCAATGTGTGGTGTGAATATAATGCAGAGAATTTGTAGTTTTGAAATTAGGAGAAGGTGTGGGATTACCCAAACTATTATCCAGAGGGCTGAGGAGGGGTTGTTGAGGTGGTTCAGACATGAAGAGAGAATGGAACAAAACAGAATGACTGAGAGTGTATAAATCTGTAGTGGAGGGAAGGCGGGGTAGGGGTCGGCCTAGGAAGGGTTGGAAGGAGGGGTAAAGGAGGCTTTGTGTGTGAGGGGCTTGGAATTCCAGCAAACATGTGTGAGCATATTTGATAGGAGTGAATGGAGACAAATGGTTTTTAATACTTGATGTGCTGTTGGAGTGTGAGCAAAGTAACATTTATGAAGGGATTCAGGGAAACTGGCAGGCCGGACTTGAGTCCTGGAGATGGGGAGTACAGTGTCTACACGCTGAAGGAGGGGTGTTATTGTTGCAGTTTTGTAACTGTAGTGTAAAGCACCCCTCTGGCAAGACAGTGATGGAGTGAATGATGATGAAAGTTTTTTTTGGGGGGGCCACTCTTCCTTGGTGGAAATTGGCTGGTGTGTTAATAAAAAAATAAATGGTAACTTTATTTTCCAAGCAGATACAAATAGTTACACTAGTATGTTAAGTGTATATTTGTTAAAGGGTTTAGCCCATGGATGTAGCATTTTATACAGTATTAAGCTAAGACTAATGCTAACATTCTAAAAAAAATATATATTGGTTAAATGCATATAAATATAGTACATATTAAATATATAAAATTATGCAATATTGTAAGCCAGATTTTAGTGGAAGTTAAGTATATAGTGAAAGTACACTTAAAATTTAGTGATGAATTTAAATTAAACTTAAGTGCATTAAAAAAATGCTATTTTGTAATAAGGGTTGGATATCCAAACTACAGTGGACCCTCGATTTTTGTAATTAATCCATTCCAGAGAGTCTGACTAATGGTGAAATTTACGATTTGTGAAACCATTTTCCCCATAAGAAATAATGTACATCCAATTAATCCATTCCAGACACCCAAAAGTATTAACAAAAAAATGTTTTTACATTAAATATAGATTTACAAACAAAACAATGTGAAATCCAGTATATAAAAGAACAATATCACACTTACCTTTATTGAAGACTCTTGTTAGTGTATGGAAGATGGGAGGAGGGGAGAGGGTTAGGGTGATGTTCTTCCACAAATGTTTGCACCTCACTCTACCTTGCACAAATGTCCTTAATCTTTGAAGAAGGCAGCTTCTTCCCTCTCTCTTCCTCCTCTTCTGAAGCAATCTCCTCAGCTGGTGTACATAAGAACAGAAGAAAGCAGGAACACTGCAGCAGGCCTGTTGTCCCGTACAAGGCAGATCCTTCACAAACAATCCCACTAACAGAATATTTGCCCAACCCAATTTTCAGTGCTCCCCAAGCAATAAGCTTTGATAATTCTCTTCACTCATGTGCAAGTCCCAATCAAATCAAATCATGTGTGTGGGGAAGTACCCTGGCTGCTTTGTATGGGGAAGTACCCATGCTGGTGTCTGGGGAAGTACCCTGGCTGGTGTGGGGAAATAGCCTGGCTGGTGTGTTCTTTCATGAATTCTATCGTGTTTCTCACCTTCTTTACTAAGGAGCTGGCACTAGGAGTTTTCTTTTGGCCCATGGTGGCTTATTTAACAGTTGCAAGCACTAAAAAGAATGGAATATTATGAAATGTATTGTATGAACACGTGAGGTTGTGCTCACTTGCTGATAAACAATGGCACACTGACTGTGACTGGTGTGTGGGGCTGCTCAGGTCACTTGTATGCATTCGGGAAGAACGACTATTAGTGAGTCAAATGACGATCCGCGAGGCAATATTTTGACAAAAAAAAAAAATGTTATGATTAACGAAATTTATGATATCTGATGCTTATGATATTCGGGGGTCCACTGTAATAGAAAATTAAAACAACTCTACTATGCTAACTGATAAAATAAAACAAAAGTAGATGGAAAAAACAACAACCTGGAAAGCACTCTCATAGTGACTGAAACAAAAGAAATTATGCAAAATACATCTAATGATCCCCATCCCAATCACTGAAATAGTAAATAAACTAAATAATTTCTTCTCAGTTATAGGATCAAATATCAAGTTATAGGATCAAATATCATTAGATCAGTAGTTAAAAAGTAATTTGTTTTAGAAATGATGAGATAATTCATTAATACATACATAGTCATACATTATGCAATGTAGAGTGAACTGTATCCATTAGAGAAAGATACTTTTCTACTATACAGTAGGGCCCCACTTACACGGCAGGTTAGTTTTCCACTTATAAATCCCCTCAAGGGAGGTTCCTTGATGCTGGTGAGGGGCTCTTGATCTACAGAATTGGATCTGTACTCTGGCTCCCTGAATACCTTCCAT